TGATTCGGGAATTAGGTCATTTCTCAAGCTGTGTTCCCATTTGATTGATTTTGGTTGTCCAGTATCTTCACGTTGCTATTATTAAAGTGATCACAGTCGTCAAGCGGTCTCTTGCACACTGACAGCGGTTGTCGCGGTGAAATGCATAATGATGAAAGACAAATTATCTGTCTAGCAATTCTGCATTGCTAGTTATCGGATATGTGACAAATTTGATTAACCCGAGTATTAATTGTATTGATGTTTCTTTATCAACACCTCGAATGCCCCTTCAACAAAACAAGTATATCTTTTTCTCCCTTTAAAAATGTTTCCACTCTCTTCCTTTTTCTGTTAGATGTGAAAAATAACGACGTGGTTCCGTTTGTCCTCGCGTCCGTCCTGGCCAGGTACATACCCAGCCAGAACCCTCATGTCCGACAGGCCGCCTGCATATGGCTGCTGTCTCTGGTGAAGAAACTCAGCCAACACAAGGAGATCACGGTGAGCGTCTGGTACAACTGTACACTTCTGAAAGTGAAGAGGCACGGGGTCACAGTTACCAAGAGAGGGAACACTTAGGCAGCAACTGTTTATGCAAAGCCTCACATAGCGACTTGAGTTAAGAAGAGTTTGTGATTTTAAATATTACAAAACTATTTGTGTAATACTTAATTATGCTTTGTCCTATTTTTGGTGAGTGAGATCTGGAGTTAAGACCTTTGCACGCCACGCGTGCATTTAGCTGTAGAAAATACACTAATGCCTTTTTCTCCTAATGAGAAAGAACTCATCAGAGCTTGAAGGCTACATTTTGTTTTGTCGCAAAGAATAAAAGAACATAGACTTGTACATACATCAAACCCGTAATACAAACTTTTGCCTTGACTCTTCCAGTCCCATTTGAAGGAGATTCAGGTGGCGTTCATCTCTGTCCTCTCGGACCCTGATGGTAAGAAGAGACTTGAGTCTAATCTGACTCCGTTATTACTTCACACCAGCTCATGCTTTTTAAATGTACAACATTACAAAACTAACCATCGCCCCCCTTGCTCGCCCTCTCCTTTCACGTAGAGTTGAGTCAGGATGTGGCGTCTAAAGGCCTGGGCCTGGTCTATGAGATGGGAGGAGAGGCGGACCAGCAAGAGCTGGTGTCTACTCTGGTGGAAACACTGATGACTGGCAAAAGGCGAGTGGATGGTTGAGTAAAGGAGGACAGAGTGAAACAGTAGAAAGAGGCATGGGAGGCTGTAGCGTCCTTTCTGCAGAGGGGGGGGGGGATAAGGTTGAAACATTCTCAGTGTTCATACAGATATTGTTAAATTCTTGTTTGTCTTTGCGAACAGAGTGAAACACGCCGTTTCAGAAGATACAGAGGTGTTCCAAGGAGAAGGTTTGGGGAAAACACCTGACGGGTAAGTCTGATGTCCCCACTGTTAGACATTTCTGCCCTTCCCAAATGTAGTGGAAATGCTTTGTGTGCACACACTGACCTTCCTCTCTCATGGACAGTCACGGCCTGACCACATACAAGGAGCTCTGCTCGCTGGCCAGCGACCTGAACCAACCGGATCTCGTCTACAAGTTCATGAACCTGGCCAATCATCATGCCATGTGGAACTCCCGCAAGGTATCGCATCCGCGCATCGTCGTCGCCAAGTCAATTTCCCCTCTGCCACATGTGCCCCTTCTCTTGACTATCTGGGCCCGTCTCACCCTTCCTTCCCCCTGACCTCTCCTCCTTCCAGGGGGCAGCTTTTGGTTTCAACATGATCGCATCCAAGGCCGGGGAGCAGCTGGCCCCCTTCCTGCCCCAGATCGTGCCCCGCCTGTACCGCTACCAGTTTGACCCCAACCTGAGCATTCGTCAGGCCATGACCAGCATCTGGGACGCCTTGGTCACTGACAAGACCCTGGTAGGAGCTCGGTCTTGTGCGACATACAAAAAAAACATAGAAAACAAACGGGTGTGAAATTAGATATAAAATAACATCGTTAGAAGTAACGCGAGCATGCTGGTTTGTTCTGGTGCCTTTCAGGTGGATAAGTATCTGAAGGAGATCCTGCAGGATGTGATTTCCAACCTGACCAGTACCACCTGGAGAGTCCGCGAGTCTAGGTACAGTAACTACACACACACTAAACATTAGTAGGAGTACTTTTCTATTTAAATTCATTTCTATTTAGCTTAGTCATTGACTGAAAAGATAAAATACTCCAAAATGCATGTTCTAGTTTCTATCTAGGTTTTATTTTTTTATATACAGTATTTAGATATTGTAGTCCTACGGTAAAGAAGCCTTCGCTGTGATGTAAAAGTCAGATGATAGATCTGCTTCTGATGGATTGATTTCCCCTCCAGCTGCCTCGCCCTCAACGACCTGATTCGCGGCCGCCAGGCTGACGACCTCATCGATCACCTGGCAGAAATGTGGGAGACGCTGTTCAGAGTCCTCGATGACATCAAGGTGAGCGGGAAATGATCCAAGAGCAGCGGATAGCTCTGACACATTGTGTGGATGGACACACGAGATGATGAATCCTATGAGACTGTCATGTAGGGCAGACATTACACACGCACAGCAGAATAACTACAATAAGTATTGCGTTATTTTGTAACGCGTTTCTGACCGTGTCGTCTTGCATTTCAGGAGTCTGTGAGGAAAGCAGCAGACCTGACGCTGAAGACGCTCAGCAAGGTAAAACTGTTGGTCCCAACAGCGGCCTCTGTGGTTGTTTGCGTGTTCACGGTACAAGTGTCTCGTGTCACCCGTCTGTCCAGGTGTGTACTCGTATGTGCGAGTCTACGGGCTCTGCAGCCCAGAGGACCGTGGCGGTGCTGCTGCCCACCCTGCTGGAAAAAGGCATTGTCAGCAATGTGTCGGAGGTCCGCTCGCTAAGGTACCGTCTACCCTCCATACGGGGGCTCTGACCTCGATCTGAAGGTGCTAGTTATGATGCAGCTCATGCTGCATGTCTGACATTTTAGAAGTGCGCGGTAGATGGCAAACTGGGTGACAATGTTTTGACGTTGAGCAGTGTGGCTCTTTTTGTTTCAGTCGCCACGTTGACCAGGTTGTAGCTCGTGCCTTGTTGTCCCTGAACTAATCAATTAAATTCCCTGCCAGCATCCAGACCCTGGTGAAGGTCAGTAAGACGGCGGGCGCCAGACTAAAGCCTCACGCCTCCCGGCTGATCCCGGCCCTGCTGGAGGCCCTCAGCACCCTGGAGCCTCAGGTCCTCAACTACCTCAGCCTCAGAGCCACAGAGCAGGAGAAGGTACCCTCAGTTGTCCGCCGCATCTCCACCCCAAAGTCTGGCAACCGGAGCCTGTACGTTTTTTTTTTTTTTTATTTATTTATTTTTTTTTAAAAATATTTCTTTCTTGAATCACTTCTCTAGAGTGCCATGGACGCTGCCAGGCTGAGTGCGGCCAAGTCCTCTCCGATGATGGAGACCGTTAACATGGTATGAAACAAAACATCCGGATTAATTTGACAAAATGTGACAAAAGCCGATGCGATCTGTTTAGTGAGGATCCGTCTTGTGTGTGTCCCTGTGCTCAGTGTCTGCAGCACCTGGACGTCTCCGTGCTGGGAGAGCTGGTCCCCCGGCTCTGTGAGCTGCTCAAGAGTGGAGTCGGCTTGGGCACCAAGGTACACACACACACACACCTATGTAGTCTCTAATTCCTAGATTTTGTGCAAGTGGTTGATGCTTTGATTCTTTTTTTTAAATCCAAGCTGTGTCTTGAATGTCGGCTCCTTGCCTCCCGTACGTATGTAAAGATGCAGCGTGTCGAGTCGGCGTGTTTATGCTCGTCTCTCTGTTTTTCGGCACAGGGAGGCTGTGCCAGTGTCATCGTCTCACTCGCAGTGCAGTGCCCCCAGGACCTCACCACATACTCGGGTAGACGAAGCTCATCTCTTCCTGGAATGTGTTTTTTAATGTTTAATGCGAGCGAACTGACGATAAAGATATTGTTGTCGTTGTTTCCAGGTAAGCTGATGAGTGCCCTGCTGAATGGCATCCATGACAGGAGCACTGTCGTACAGAAAGCGTTTGCCTTTGCTTTGGGACACCTAGTCAGGGTAAGCACCACTCCTGCTCAAGCATTTTTATTCTAATAATTACAGCATGGCTCGTTCTCAGTGACTTAGTAAGCATAGCTGGTTGCACTTGTTTCCCCCCCCCCCATCAGACAGCAAAAGACAGCAGCGTAGAGAAACTACTACTGAAGCTCAACGGCTGGTACCTGGAGAAGGAAGGTGAGGCGGCAGAGAAGTCGATTTGTCCTCGATATAATGATTCTGTTTGTGCATTAAACCCAACGGCACCTTTGGGACACCCGCTCTCTTCTTCTTCTCCTCGACTCTCTTCTCTCTCTGACTCCCAGAGCCGGTGTACAAGTCATCATGCGTGTTGACCGTGCACGCCATCAGCCACTACAGCCCCGACGTGCTGAAGGGCAACGCGGGGGTGGCTCTGCCGCTGGCCTTCCTGGGAATGCATCAGGCGCCGGGTCCCGATGAGGAGAAAGGAGAGGCCCACGATGCCACGCTGTGGGCTGAGGTGTGGCAGGACAACGTCCCGGGTGAGAACCAATTACATATGTAAACAGATAAATGACAGACTACGTGGATATAGAAAAAAACTCTAATCTCTACGTATTAGCTTCTATTCTCTGAACTTCTCTTTGACTCCAGGAAGCTTCGGGGGCATCAGACTCTACATGACAGAGCTGATCGCCATCACGCAGAAGGCCCTGCAGTCCCAGTCCTGGAAGATGAAGGCTCAGGGTGCAGCTGCCATGGCAACCGTTGCCAAGGAACAGACGGGCTCGTTGGTGGCGCCGCACCTCGGCATGGTGCTAACGGCTTTGATGCAGGGGCTGTCCGGACGCACATGGGCGGGCAAGGTAGCGGCTGAACAACAGCGAGGAGGAGATAGTTGTCACAAAATACATTTTTTTTTATATCTTTGTTTTATTGTTTCAGGAGGAGCTACTGAAAGCCATTGGATCCGTCGTCTCGAAATGCAGGTGAGAGTCCTTGCAGAGCTGTTTATTTTACCCACTAATGCCAGTCTTATTTGAAGGACAACATTCATTTACCAGAGTTTTAATTGCTTCCGTTGTTCCTCCGGCTCTTAGTGCGGAGCTGAAGAAGCCGTGCGTGGGCCAACCCAGCGTCTCCGAGGTGCTGGAGCTCGTGTTCAAGGAATGCCGCAAGGAGAGTCTGGTGTACAAAATGGCCGCTGTGCGCTGCGCCGGAGACGTGCTCCAGAGCAGCCAGGAGGACCGGTTCAGCGACATGGCGGAGATCCTCTTCCCCCTGATCAAGAAGGTTTAAATCCCGTCTACTCATCTGATACCGCTCGTTTGCCATATCGGCAGACATCATTGAGACACCTGTTTGAACTGTGTTCACTCTATCTGACCGATGTCCCCAACAGAACTGCCCACAGAGCGGCGGCGCGGCACACAGGTTGCGGGAGGGGGATGACGATAAGGACTCGAAGGAGAAGGAGCTGCAGACGGAAGCCCTGCTCTGTGCTTTTGAGACTCTTGGAAAGGCTTGGCCCAGAAACCAGCAGACTCAGAGTAAGACACACACACACCACTGGACCACCAGATGACTGCTTCAGGGAAGTCAATAAACCCGTAACCTAATCAAGCTGTAGACTTGTTCATACGTTGTGAAAAATATGAATCCCAGACACTTATTAACATTCACACACATTATGCAGCAGGGTTTGAGGCTTCAAATCATTTTCATTTACTTTTTTTTTTAAACAAACGCACATCTGGACTTTTGACTCCGATTTGTTGTGGTCCTCATGTACTGCACTGACGAGCTAGTGGGATTTTCAAGGTGTCCTAACGTAGTTAGACAATGTTGTGAACTCTGTCTGTCTGTAGCTCGCTTCCAGGCGGCGGTGTGCAGTCTGATGTGTGAGAAGCTCAAGCTAAGCACCTGGAAAGTGCAGCTCGCCGTTCTCCAGTCCATGAAGGCGTACTTCAAGGGGTAAGGGCCAATCCAGACAAACGTGTCCTAAACCCTGAGTCTATCAGTCATGCTAATCGGTTATGTTGACTCCGTGCGTGTGATGTTTTTCTCCGTAGGTTGTTGCTGCTCGAGAAGGGCGGTGAAGACTTTGACGCATTGTCTCAGATCCTCGCAGAGACCTGCGGCGCTCTCACTCACCCTTTAGGTAAGAGCCTCACAATGTCAGTGTAGTATTCTAGTATCGTACGCCGACACATTATCACCATGTTTGTTCTCCTATCCAGAAAACAAAAGCTACTCGACTGTGAGGACGGAGGCCTTGTCGGTTGTGGATGTGATCGTAAAGAGAACTGGAGGTAAGGGTTTCTGGGGGCATATCCCTCTGACCAGAGCGAGCGTGAATGTGACACGCTCCAACACGCGCATATAAATAATGAACATGTGTATGCTCTACTTTGATCCATCCGTCACTGACGAACTGTTCCCCTGCCTGTGGTGTTAACAGAGAGCGAACAGTGGGACTGCATGTCCGTGAAGAGCCGGGAGCAGCTGCAGCGCTCGCTATCAACGCTGCAGACCGACAGCAGGCCGGACCTGAGGGATAAGGCCCAGGAGCTACGCAGACACATCCAGAGCCAACCCTGAACACACACACACACATATAGAGCTCACCAAGCCAGCCAGATACATGCAGTCATAAACACAGAATACAACCAAATGGAGCATCAACTTTTTCTTTTACTTCTTTATTAGTCGAACGAAACGCATCACACACTCCTCAGTCTGAGGTCTTTGATTCAGTTATCTTCTCTTAAACGGATATTCACAAATCTCTCAAGTCACTGCATTACTTATCCATATTACGCAAGCTGACACACACACACACACGCTGATTTCATGTTTAGCGGCTGACGAAGCTTGAAGAGACTACAGTAACACAACTCGCAGTGACGAAGTGGTGGAGGGCGAGGCTGTTATTGTAATGTGTTAATTTTTATTTTGATCCTTTAAATGGATGGTAACATAATGAAAATAAATGCTATATAAACCAATGTGTTGGGTTTGTGGACACTGTATATCTAGAGCCCCAAAATGGGGACTTTTACTACTGTTGTGGGTTTGCCTACTCATCAAATATCAGAACAGCAGCAGGGCGTTCCTCACTGTTTCACCACCGCTGCTGAGCAGTGGTGAAAGTGCTGAGGTTTCTCTGTCTCCTGTTTGAGGTGAATGAGCAAGACTACAGCAAATTGAGTACGCTCTTGAGAAAGGAATAAACAATAAAAAAAAAATTTAAAAAACCTGTTCAGTTGAAAGTGATGCTACAGTTGTTTGAATTTGTCCCCGATGATAAAATAAAACTACCCCGATGATAAAATAAAACTACCGTGACAATTTTGACAAGTGACTTTCTTTTTGTCCTAATAAGGAATGATGGTTTTTAAAATCAAACAAACAAGATGGTGTTGAGTTCTCAGCAATTCAAACTCATGGTCACACATATTGATGAGACATGTATTCGTTGGGTACAAACCCAAACAATAACGAAAGGTTGAACTTGCATGGTTGACGGTCAGAAAAAACATCATGCACTCTAGCCGCATGTTAAGTTATTCATCTCGGGTAAATAAATGCTTACATCTCAGCTGCATTATCTAGTTGTACATTCTGGTGAGGTTCATCTAACAGCCAATCAAATATCATGTGACTTAGTACAAGACCCAGCTGTAACTGATGCATTTGACATGAACCAAAGCAAACAATCCTCCAGAACTTGTATTTTTAAGGAAGACAAGCAAACATTCCTAGAGGGTTATGGTCACTCAAACTCAAAAATATGAAGTTATTTTTATGGTTGGTGTATTACTGTATGCAATAATCTGGTACATTTGATGTTCAAACAATCCGGTTAAATAGTGACTATCATCTTGGCAGTAAGTGTTATTTGTTTGCTAATAAAGTCTATGAAATGTAACTGTAAAATTGCAACTCGGCAACCAAATAGTGTGGCCTGAAGATTTTTGTAACGTGAATAAAGATAAATTGTCTGACCACTCTAGTGTCCAACACTGCAGGTTTTGGTTTTTTAGTTTCATCCAATCAAAGTACAAAGTATGTATATTTAACCTGCTTTATTTACTAAAACATATGGACACGTTGCATAGCTGCATATCAAACTGACAATGTATGGCAGAAGAGCATGAACACGGACTGGAAAAGAGACAGAATAAACAAGGACACTTTAGAAAAAAAAAAAAAAAAGACATTTACAGTTGAAAAGGTTTAAAATACACAAAGATGTGAAGAAAGTCCACACTTGCTGAACAAACACGTGCCATATAAACTATTAGAAAAGAGCAAAGGCTAACGACAGAGGAAATGTATACACAATTGATTGCCAGAAGTTGAGCTGCCAGAGCACATTTAGAATGTGGCTGTGCAGCGATTAGCTGATGAGCAGTTTGTTCCTCTTGTCCTTCTGACGAGCCTTGTCCTGGCCTTTCTGCGGGAGGTTGGCGTCACTCTGGCTGAGCGCCGTCCGCGACACCGTGGACATGCCGTCGACGAACTTGGTCTTGTACAGGACGTTGGCGTTGGTGAACATGCCGTCCTTCAGGGACACCACCACGAACTGCAGGGAGAGAGAAAATTTAGGAAGGTCACTCGTGTGCATGTATTGCTCTTTGATGCACCCGGAACTAAGAATTCATGGCCGCACTAGTCTACGTGAGGTTATCAGAACGCCTGCATACCTGGGAGTGTCTGAAATGTGTGCGCAGCATCTGTCCGATGTTCTGCGTGTGCGAGAGATCCAGGGCCGCGTCCACCTCGTCCAGGATGTAGATGGGAGCTGGTTTGAACAGCAGCATGGCCAAGATGAGCGACAAGGCCACCAGTGATCTGAACACACAGACGCAAAGAGGACGCTCAATACGGGGGACGGACTTCATTCATCGTCCATGGAAACCGTTACACCCATGCTGCTAAAAATAGACAAAACAATGGCGATGGCCATAGAAGTGTTGTTTTTGCTGACCTTTGCCCACCGCTGAGCTCGGTGAGGTTCTCCTTCCAGGTGCTGCCCAAGGCCACCTTGAACTCGAGACCTTCCAGGACACCATAGCCCTGTTGGGGAGCCAGCTTAGCAGTGGCCCCTGGCAGCAGAGTGGAGAAAATAGAGCCAAAGTCCTTGTTTACCTGTAGAGGAAGGGAAATAATAGAAGGGAAGGAAACGTAACAGGAATTACAGTGAGGTCCGAATCCATGAGACAGAGTACCTAATAAACTGGCAGTGCTGTGTGTATTGTTTCTCAGTGTACAGAGCCCAATGTGAGATGAAAGTGAGCCACAAATGGAAATAATGCTGGGAGAGAGAGCAGACCTTCTGCCACGCCACGTTCAGAGCCTCATTCTTCTTCTGGTCCAGCTCTGTGATGGTCTGCAAGATTTTGGCTTTGTCGTTCTCCACGATCCTCTTCTTCTTCATCAGGTCGTTGTACTGCAGGAGGGAAGACAGTTGTGTGGGATAAACGTAGAGTCTTTCAAAGCTTTTTTTTTTTTGCATTCGCTGACACACTCTCTCGCTACTCTGTCCTCACCCTCTCCTCGGCCTCGTTCAGCATGTTCATGGCCCTCTTGTTGACGTTCCTCTCCAGCTTGCTGGTGGTCTCCTCCAGCTTCTTCAGCCGCTGACCGGCCTCGCGGGGGTTGTTGGTCTTAAAGTCGTACGAGGTGTTGGGCTGGCCGAAGAACTGGCGCTCCGACCTGATCCAGTCATGTTCCTCCAGCATCCGAGACACCTGGAGGACCAACGTTATGACGAGGGGGAGAGATGGAGAGTGTTTAGAGGACACTGATCATGAAGACAGATGAAACTATCAGAGACCTTAGAGATCACAGAGTTACACTACTTAAGTAGAGGACTGAGTGTGTGTGAGTGTGTGTGTGTACCTTGTCAGCAGCTTCCTGGCTGTCTTTGCGGTGCTTACTAATGTTGTGTTCCAGCTCCTTGATCTTCAGCTGGACTTCGTTGTTCTGCTCTCTTATCTTATTGGCCTCTGTGCTCTTACCCTGGAACATTCAGTTTAATAAAACAAATATCAAACAATTAGTCATATCCTAAAATTCCAAGCTGTAAAATAAGTCAGCACTAGACAATTAAGAAAGTGCAATAGACAAAGAGGAAAGTCAAAGAGTTACTAGAAGCTTCTAAATTAGGAGATAAAAAAACCACAACATTAAAAAGGAACAGTGTGGAGCATTTTGGGAGGATCTATTAGCAGAAATAGAATATAATATTCACAACTATGTCTTCATCCGTTTATTATCACATGAAACTAAGAATCGTTGTGTTCGCGTTAGCTTAGAATGAGCCCTTCACCTCTACAAAGGGAGCAGAGTCCACCATGTTTCTTCAGTAGCCTAGAATGGACAAACCAAACACTGGCCTTTTAGCGTTTTCATGTCACAGCAGTTGTCTGACACGTCAGACTTCTGTTGCTCCTATAGTACGGTTATTATGGTAAGCATGGCCTCCGAGAAGTGGCGAACAGTCGGTACCGTGGTTTTGCACTCAGAGGCTGACGTTACCGCAGAGCGGAGGGCTGTTCAGTTTGACGGCAAATCCTACAAACTGCCCTTTTAAAAAATAAAAAGGAGCAATCACCAAAAACATGTGCAATCACCTTGAGCTCTTTGTCCTGAGCCATGATCACTTCCTTCTGGTTGGCCAGCTCCTCCTGGGCTTTGCGCACTGCCTCCTGCACAGCGAGACAGAGGAGGGGGTACGGTGAGAGAAAATACCAAGAGTAGAGTAAACATGTACCTAGAAATGTGAGCTCCTGGGGAGATCAATTTCAAAGAGCACAAACTTGTGAGCGTACACGTACACGTACACACACACACACACACACACACACACACACACACACACA